TGTCTACATAAAAATGGATTTGCTTGCTGGCTTAATATGGGCAGACACTAAAACGACCCCCACCACTGCTTTATTTTCCCTCCAAAAGTTCAATTTTTCTTCTTAGGTTGCTTCTTCCTAAGAATTTGAAATTCCATTGCTTGAAAGAAAAACTCCTTTCAGTGTGGAATAAATAGAAAGTAAACCTTCTCAAAATTTTAATGTATCTATGTACTACTGACATCTTAGATATTTAGAGTTGGGCTAATGCTTGCTGGTCTCTACATTCACATTGAAAAAAGAGCAAGCTCACAAGGTATAGAAGGATAGCTCAGCTACTTACTGATTATTTATACAAATAAGATTTCTGTTGCTGGAGGTTCACAAGAAGCCCAGCCTCCGTTGGGTAGCTTTAGATCTGCTGAGATGATGCCTTCCTAACATTTCTTTCTAAGAAGAAGAGCACCTCAAGCTCTGGTTTTCCCACCTGCATACTGAATTTGTCATGTTTCCCTGCACTTTCTACAGTTGACTTGGCAGATGTATGTTCATGGCAAACTTGTAGATGCCAGATAAACAGGAGGACATGACTGTGCTTGTGCCATGGCTTACTGATGGCCACTATGATCTTTTCAAGTTGGATGCATCACATCAACTAAGAGCCAGCATGGCTTTATTGGGATGGGTGGATAAGAACTGCTGCCTTCCTTACCTGGACTGGTCACAACCAGAAGATGCTCTGTGAATAATCCTCTGTCCACATGCTTTCCTTGGTAAAAGATCCCAGTGCATATTGATGAATGGCCCTATGCTACCTTTGTCTTAGCTACCATCCATTTTCTAAGCCAATGTGCCCAGAGAAATACTTCAAGTGCCTGAGCTAGTTACAGTTTACTGTGGAAGGAACTAAAGATGGCAGGCCCGTGGACATCTGGGGACACACACTGTTCTTGAATGTGGGGATGTTTGATGATGAACTGACCCTGGGATAGCAGCTGAGCATATACTACGTAAGAGACTGGTTAAGCCAATATTGTAAGAAGACAATATTGTGTAGTGGAGCACATGTTAGAAGAATGACACTTCCACTTAAAATATGAAATATAAGATATTTTAAATAAAATTTTGTATTCTGATGCTGTTTTTTCTTTACCATTTTTTGCATCTACTATAAGAAAAATATATAAATAAAAACTTGTTTTGTTCTCAAAGAAAGCAATTATTACATAAAATAGTAAAACAGTCAATATAAGGAGGCATTTAATTAAAAAATAAAAAACTCACACTGCTAGAAAATGGATGTGGGCACCAAACTCAGCACAAATATGTATGCTTAGAAAATTCTGGAACACAATCCCGCGCTATGTTAATTTGTTATGGTTTGGTTTGGTTTTGTTTTGCTTCTGCATTTGTTTGAATTCCTAACATTCTTGACATCATGTTACTTGTTTCATCTTTCTGGACTAACCACGCAGGCTGGTCAGCATGACTGGACTAGGTTAAGAAAAAAGGAATGAAAAACAGGAAGAAAAAAA